AAATGTGGATGTTCAACCATCATTCAATGAACAATCTAGCAGTGCAATAAGAAAAGATGAAATAGTGCAATGACAAGTTGGAACGGCCACGGATTACGATATTGAATTTTGTGATTTTAAATAATTGGTTTTAAGGTTTAATTATGTTTTAATGCTGATGTTTTTATTATGTGTGTTTTTGGCATCTAATTGTTGCTTATATATGTAAGCTGCCTTAAGTCCCCTATGGGGGATGAGAACGGTTGGGTATAAATACAGTAAATAATAAACAAATAAAATCATTTTTTTTTCTTGAGCAGGACCTTTTTGATGGTCTCTCTTTGTTTACATTTGGATGCATTTAAATATACAGTTTCCTCGATGGCAAACTAAAGCAATGTAGTCAAGCATGTCTGTGTCTATGAACTATTCACTGAGTTTTTCTTTGCTAAAGACCACATTATAGTTTCAACAGGTGCAAAACCCAAGATGATGAAAATTAGGTTATCAGATTTCAACAAAGAGCAAAGTTGAATAATGCCTATAACTAGGCACCAAAATATTTTAATTTTTAACAAGTCTTCAATTCCTTCAGAACTGTTTAACAGACATTTCAAAACTTGAGATAGGAAAAGAAGCACCAGAGTTCAGAAATCGTCAGACCTAGAAACAATGATCTTTCTCTAGCTTTACAGTACAGGAAGGGAAATTTTTCAGCCTTTCAGATGTGACTGGATTGCAGCCATACACAGCATAGCAAACGGTGAGGAATTGTGTAAGTTGAAGTGCTTCAACATTTAAGAACCACCTAATTCCAACCATTGCTATAAACAAAGAACTTTTTTATGATAATTTTTTAAGGACCTAATTGTGAAGGAAGTGCCAAAGACCATCAAGTGCACTTTCTTCACAAATCCATTAGGCTTCTCAGTATTTTCTCACTAAGCAGTTTGGGGGGAAAGGGTATTTTCCTGAAATATGTGGCTGAATGCAACTGTACTTTCCCACCTTTTCCTTCAAAAACATTGTAGCAGAAGGAGGAACAGCTCTTGGTGGACCAATATGAATTTTAACTGTCCAGACCTATTTTGGACTGTAGATTTGGAACACTGGCTCCAAATGATGAATTAAAATGCTTACCACTCTTTGCATTTTCTTCTGTCTCCAAGTTCAGAGAGCTAAGTGCAGATTCCAGCTCTTCCACTTGCTTTAATAATCGTTCGCCTTTATCTGGCAGTGCCTGAACATTCACCAATTTCAAAGTTTTCTAGAGACAAAAAGGGAGGGAAAGATATGATTATCTAAATAGCAGCGAAATAGAAGAGTGATACAGTGCTAATAAGTGGGCTACAGTAATTATAGGAAGTTAGAATATTGAACGTATCATGCTCCAACATAAACAGTTCCACTTATCCTCTCTTATCATCTATCTACAGATTAGGGAATTGTTTTTCAAGAAAACAGAGGCTAACTAAACAATGGGAAGAGTATAAAAATAGAACATGATTAAGGAAGCAGACGAGGAAGTGTTCTAGTTTGCTGCCTTGCTCATTTTCACATTTCTCTGCCTACCCAATGCAATACCACTTATATAGTTTTCAGAAGGTTTCATTTGGAAAAGTGCCAAAAATAGAAAACTTCCTCATAGTAACATTTCCATATAAGACTACACAAAGCCAAATTGTCAGACTCTGGAAAATCTTGCATTTAAAATCAAGCTCACAACAATAAAATGCTGGAGACAAGTAGTTTATTCCTTCTTTCCATAATCCTAAAAAGACAGTTCTAAAGTTTTCCCACTCAAACCTCCTGTATATATCAGTTCCAACTCCCATCCGCTCCCTAGTGTCCAAACACTGTGACCACAGTCTGTTAACTGCAGTTTCAATTTCCCACACAAAACAGATGTCTTGTCTACACTACCTTCCTCAACTGTAACCAGCCTCCCTTCCCCCAACCTCCCTTCTTTATGACAGAGAACAGAAGCAGCCAGTCCCAGACTGATATGGTGATCCTGACACAAATACTTCAACTGTTCTTTTCATTTACTAACAAAATCAAAAAGAGCATTACCTATACAGGCCGAAATGCGTGTTTGAAACAAACTTAAGGGCTCCACCTGAATTCCACTGTGTCAAAATATGTGATGCCCTTTGCATGACCTAGACATGAGAAAAAAACCCGAGACTATTCTTATACAGCTTTCTCCAAGCTGGTGCCTTCAAGATGAGCTGGAACGCAGCAATCTGGAGGGTATCAGGTTGGAAAAGATGGAACTAGTACAGCAGCAGCGTGGATTATAGTGTGACCTCTATATCCACATTTTTTTATCCATTGATTTAACCACCCTTGGCTTGAAAATATTGTAAAACAATCAAAACGCAACCCTTGATTTTGCAATATTATATAAGGGACAATATTGTAAAATAAATGAAAAATATTGTAAAATAATGAAACTTGAGCATTCATGGATTTTGGTATCCATAAGGGAGTATTGGAATCAAATCCCAGTGGATCCCAAGAACCCACTATACCCACAACACAGGACATTTTCCAGTCCCATTGAATATATCAACAGATACAGAAAATCAAGCATATAGCAAAACAGACCTTTTTCTGCTCCAGCTGAGCTGAAAGTTGGTGGTGAAGAGCTTTGGAATCCACATTTTCTGTGATCTGCAAAGAGGCCAGTTCTGGCAATGTGGGCGACAGTTTCTTTTGACTGCTGTCTTTTCCTTGTTGGAATTCAAATCCTTGCACAACAGGTAATTCGAAAGGCACAGATTTGTCACATTCACCACTGCTAACATTTTTAGTGGCACAGTCTTTCTCTCCCGGAGTGACTCCCATCTGTAACCGTTCTGATGATTTCTCTGGATTTCCTTTGTGTGGTGCTCCAGGAACAGAGCCTGTCAGTTCCTGAACAGCTGCATGATCTCTAGACACTCCTGTCTCTTTTTCAGCTCCCCAATGGCCATTTGTTTTCGTTGTTATTCTTTTGTCCTTGCAGATTTCTGGAACCCCTTTGCCAGACTGTTCCTCATCAATGGGCCTGCCACTGGATTTCTGGATCTTGAAATTTAGCAATGGTTGCAATGATCTTTTTTCTTTCTGCGCATCAACTCCAGCAGTTCTCACAGCTGAACCATGTCCAGTGTGACCAGGAGGCATCTCAGCCTTTTTACCCAGATATTTATATCCATTAAAAGATGTCTCTTTCTCCCTTACAGACACGGCATCACTTGATTTTGCTTGGTTTTCTATTGCTCCTGCATATGAGTTCTCACATTTTCCTCCAAACTGTGTGTTCTTGATCTTCAGCGTTGTTAGAAGCTCTTTTCTTTTGGTTTCAGATGATAATTTTTGAAGGGCCTCTTTGTCAAACTCTACAGTTTCTTTTTTCTCATGTTCTTTTTTTATTTGATTTTTGTCCTCTCTGTCATTCAGTTCTTTAACAGATGATAATTCTTGGTTCTTGTTTGGTACTTTGAATGGATTTCTTTGATTTCTGTGATCATGGATCAACTCCAGCATTTGCTGAGGTTGTGGTTTGGTTGGGATTGTCTTGGTTTTTGAATCCTGTAAAAACAAACAAAGAGATGAAATCTTAATCTATTTACAATATAATGAGATAGCATGAATACTACAGCTGTCTGTTCCCTGCACTCTTGGAGAACAGTTCTACAGGAAAAGTTGATATTTCTAGAACTATTCTTCCAAGGTTTGCAAAACTTCTAACTGTTATAACCACTGACAAGTTCTAAAATATTTTTCTGTAAACCCTGAAGAACCTGCCATTGTCATTAATTATATCAGATGATATTACCAGTACTACTGTAGCTACAGCAGCCAAGCCAAATAACTTTCCTTCTGTAAAACTCTGGAAGATCTTGGAGTTAAAATCAAGCTCACAACAATAAAAAGCTGGAGACAAGTGATTTATTCCTACTTTCCACAATCCTAAAAAGACAGTTCTAAAGTTTTCTAGCTCAAGCCTCCTGTATATACTGGCCCCAACTCCCATCTGCCCCCTAGTGACCAAACACCGTGCCCACTGTTAACTGTTTTATCTATATCACCTTCCCCAACTGTATCCCTGCCCGCACCTCCCTTCTTTATGGCAGAGAACATGAAGCAGTTAGTCCCAGGCTGATATGGTGATTATGACACCTTCATTCCATTTTTTTTCCTGTTATACTTCAAGTCCTTTGCAAAACTTTCAAAGATCCAGAATTATAAAACCAACACATAAATGCATTTAATTATACTAATTGTCTTTGCTCTACTGGAGGTTTTAAACAGGGCCCTACTTAAACTCAATAATTTCGCTGCCACCCAACTCTTGCCCACTTTCTTATTTATAACCAGTCCATGAGGTTGAATGCTTTCACCCCCCGAAAAGACAATCAAGTAGGACTGTGTGAAAACCTACTGAATCTCCCAATTAGACTATTCTCTAGTGCAGTGAAACATTACACAAGAAGGATGTGTTACTACAAGGGAAGAGAAAGGGAGAAAGGCCAAAACTAGTTGGTGTCACCTACAGCTGACCTATTTATTTACAGCATTTCTATTCCACCCTTCTCACCCTGAAGGGGACTCAGGATGGATCATGGAACACATATACGCCAAACATTCAATGCCGTTAAACAGACAGGACAGACAACTAACAGAAGTATTATGTTGACATTTTTCCCAACTTTGGTGTCCTGGAGGTGGTGCTCAATTCCAGCCACAAGGGGTGCTGTCCCTCCATGGCGAAGAGCATTGATCACAGATTTCTTCCTTCCTTTGATCACTGCCATTTTCTGCCATAAAACACCTCCCTGCTTAAGCGGTGCCTAATTTCTCTACTCACCGCTGTTTTTGAACTGCTTAGTGGACAATAAACTGGGCTGAAGGTCAGGTGCTCACCCCAACCCGAGCTTCAAACTGCCAACCTTTCGATTGGTAAGATCTATTACTGCTGATGATTAACTAGCTGTGTTAAAGCCCGTCCCTTCCACAAAGCTGTATAAAATCCACACTGAACTGGTTTATATGTCAGTGTGGACTCAGATAATCCAGTTCAAAAAGATATTATGGATTATCTGCCTTGATATTCTAGATTATATGGCTGTGTTGAAGGGCACACAGCCATATAACCGATATGACTTCAGAGTTCACTGACCATATGGCCATACCTATCTTAATGAGCATTAGACACCAGTGAATTAATCTGCAATGCCGTCTGATTTTCTTAATGCAGAAACAATTTTAGTCTAACTTAATGACTGTATGTGATTAAGATTAAACAAACATTTTAAACTATGCGCAGACCAACAAATCTGAGGTTTCAAAATGTTGTGGGGCCTCCTAAATACCTCCTGAATGATTTCAAATATGCCGCTAGAACTACAATGTGCTGCCCATTTACATTTTTAAAACATTTCAGAATGTGCTATTGTTTCTCCTTGCAAAGCAGAATACAGGCAGTCCCCAAAGTTACAAACAACTCAGAGTTAATAATGGGAGTGAGACAGTAGGAAGGAGAGAAATCTCCACACATGAAGGGAAATTAGCTCCTGAAAAGGTGTCTCAACTGAAGCTTTATCACCAATCTTTCTTTCCACGACAAGCAACATTTTTCAAAAGCTAATTATCACCATGACAAAAAGTGAGGTGAAATCTTCTGAACAGGGGCTCAGACCACAAAACAAACACTACAGTCCCCTCAGGGAGAGCGGGTGGGTTAAAAAGATGGTATTATTATAATATTATTACTACAGGGTTGCCTTTGCTCTTGTTGTACTCCTATTTTCCTCATTTTGTTATATTGAAATTTTGTTAGTTATATTTTGTTAGTTATATTTTGTTAGGCCCACATGTGTAACTGTGAACTTTTTGTGTCTATCTCTATGATCCTTAAATATATATATATTTGGAATATTTCCTTAGTGTAATGGCCCCAAAGTGGTTGCAAAATATTGAATTGGCAATGAGGTATTTTTACTTACCTGCCATGGGACACTTCCACACCATTGTTTCCCTTCTGCTTTAGCTTTACTGCATCGATAGAACAGCCTAGAATCAAATAAAATATGGTCTGTCAAATTGCTATTAATAAAACATAGACAAAAATAAGAATGAGAAGGGAAAATATACACATATAAAAATGCAGGTATATATGTAACTAAAACTAAGCTAATGCTAAAACACAATATTAAATCCCTAACTTAAAACAATAAAAATTAACAAAAATATTAATTCACAAATACATTCTATACTGCCAGATGATCCAGATTATCTGCTTTTGAACTGGATTATATGAGTCTACACTGCCATAAATCCAGTTCAAAGCAGATAATCTGGATTATATATGGCAGTGTAGAGGGGTCCTAAGACCAATGAACTGATCCAGCAACCTAAACTGTAATGAAAACAATACAAATTGGAAAACATATTATTTTACTATTACAGATCAAACCAAACAGTTTAATTGAATTATTATTAACCCCCTTGTGGCGTAGTGGGTTAAACCGCTGAGCTGCTGAACTTGCTGACCAAAAGGCTGGCAGTTCAAATCAGGGAAGTGGGATGAACTCCCCCTGTTAGGCCCAGCTTCTGCCAACCTAGCAGTTTGAAAACATTCAAATATTTGTAGATCAATAGGCACCACCTTGGCGGGAAGGTAACAGCGCTTCATGCAGTCATGTGGACCACATGACCTTGGAGATTTCTACAGACAACGCTGGCTCTTTGGTTTAGAAATGGAGATGAGCATCATCCCCCCGAGTCGGACACAACTAGACTTAAAATCAGGGGAAACCTTTATCTTAGCTACAAATATTACATCTTTAGACTTCTTATTGCTCAAATTTTTTCAAAAAGTCTTCATTTAGTTTTTCTCTCACAACCCATGTTATTTTGGCAATTTAGGCTTAGTATCCATAACAATCCTTCCTTCATCTTCCACTTCAAACTATTTCCAGGTCTACATTAACAATATTCTTCTTTCTGATGTTCTCATATATCAAAGAAGTTGTGCATATTTACAAAAAAATCTGGATGATTCTGCAAGATCTATCTTTTAAAAACCTGTGAATTAATATATAAATTTCAGACCAGTAACATTTCACTTTCTTACAAGACCACCACATAGGAAAAAAGAGTCTTCCTTATCTAGATTTTGGGTGATTCTTGGACATGTTGGACATCTGATTTGGATTTAGACACCATCTAAATGTAATCTTATACACAATTTCTTTTAAGATACTGTTAGTACTCTTGATGCAGACATCCCAATCATATGAACGCAAGTATTTTAATGGAAATATACCTGTATGTTTCTTTCTCCTTTTCCTTCATCAAAACTTGCAGTTCCACTATATATTGTTCATGTATCAGGCAATGAGAAGGGCTAAGCCTATGGTAGGAAAGATAGTTATTTACAAACAGAAACTTATGACTCTCTCTCTATATATATAAAAAGGATCACTAAAAAGTGCACTACAAAATCTAAATGTCCACATTTGGAAACTTGAGCTCTAGTTACTAACTGCATATTGCAGAATGGAAGCCAACATGCACAAATATTTAAACTTCTATCAATACCAAGCATAAACACACATAACATTTTCCTTCCTCTCAGGCATTATATATATTTCTAACTTATTTCAATTACTTGCTTGCCTTCAATTTTAGGGCAAGCCCTAAAGAGAGGATTTACAATTAAATAAGCAAATATGTTGCCTAAGGCTTTCATGGCCAGTATCACTGGGTTGCTGTGAGTTTTCCGGACTGTATGGTCATGTTCCAGAAGCATTCTCTCCTGACGCTTCACCCACATCTTTAGTTCAGGGGTTTGTAGGAAACTAGACAAGTAAGGTTTTTATATCTGTTGAATGAACAAAATCTGGCTACAAGTATTTAAAAATCTTCTAAAATCAGGACAGTAAATAAAGAGCAACACTCCAAAAGAAGGGGAATTCCAGACAAGAAACAATCAGGGCCAACTAACACCTCCAAAGGATTCCCCAGGCAGCAATCAGCCAAGCTTTGAAGATGCAAGGCCATTAAATGGTAATCAAGGTGCCCAAAAGGCATTCCTAGTGTTATCTTGAAAAGTACACCATTTTTCATCCAACAGTACCTTTAAAAAGCTCTTAAAGAGTTAAAATGCAAATTGACTCTATCATGTGTTGTTGAAGGCTTTCAAGGCTGGAATCACTGGGTTGCTGTGAGTTTTCCGGACTGTATAGCCATGTTCCAAAAGCATTCTCTCCTGATGTTTCACTCACATCTGTGGCAGGCATCCTCAGAGGTTGTGAGATAACAACCTCTGCCTGGGGATCCAACAAAGGATTCCCCCAGGAAGGAAGCAGCCAAGCCTTGAAGCTGCAAAGCTATTCAGTTCTAATCAAGATGGCCAATTGCAACATTCTCACTTGCCTCAAGCAGACAAGAGTTCTTCTCCCACCCTGGACATTCCACATATATATAAACCTCACTTGCCTAATTTCCAACAGACCCCTCAACCTCTGAGGATGCCTGCCATAGATGTGGGTAAAATGTCAGAAGATAATACTTCTAAAACATGGTCAGACAGCCCGGAGAATTCACAGCAACTTACTAAAGAAGGAATGTTTAAAAGCGCCTATGGTTCAATTCTGAATAGAAAATATAGAATTTTACATTTTTTTTAAAAAAAAGAGTTTTTCCACGTAATTCCTAGTAGTAGAGTTTTTATTTTAAAAACAGATGGATCAGAAGAACAATTCCCAGGCCTTAGCCTTTAGGAAATACATTCAACTTACTCTGTAGTGAGCACAAATCCACACGATTGCTGGTTTTGGACACCACACATATAAAAGCTTTTGTTTTTGTTTGGGCCATCCTGGATGCCAGTCTTCAAAATACAGGGATGCCCTGAGCAGGAAGTAAGGGGAAGAGACAGATGAAGAAAAGATCAATGGATGGGAAATGAAGCTTTGCCTCAGTTGACTCTAAGCCTTATCTCATTTCAAGGATCCTCACAGCTCATGTTTACAACAGTATAAACGCATGAATAAGTTGAGGGCAGATTTTGAGGTGACCCCACCAGGAGTTTGAGATCTTCCGGGGAGACCCTGCTCTCGATCCCGCCTGCTTCTCAAGCTCGGCTGGCGGGGACGAGAGATAGGGCCTTCTCGGTGGTGGCTCCTCGGCTGTGGAACGCCCTTCCTACGGACATTAGACTAGCACCATCTCTAATGGTATTCCGCAAAAAGGTGAAGACCTGGATGTTTGTGCAGGCGTTTGAGTAATTTAGTACAATCTGGTAATGGAACATAGGAATGGAACAATGGACGACGAACCTGGACTACGCTTGGATGATGAGAAGATTGGGTACGGTTGTTTTTTGTAATAATTGTGCATTGTAATTGCTTATTGGTAATTTATGGATAATGTGTTAAGTCAATTGTTACATGTTGTATGGAACCACTGCTGTTTCTACTGTTTTTACTGTTTGTGAACCGCTGTGAGTCGCCTTCGGGCTTGAGATACAGCGGTATATAAGCAAAGTAAATAAATAAATAATAATAAATATGTTGCATCCTGGTCCTCTTCCCCAACACTCTTTATATTAGCAAAACTATTGATCATGGTAGTTCTTCAAAAATGAGTTCAGGTCCTAAATATCCGGCCTCTGGGACCTAAGAAAAGAGCTGTCATTCTGCGAGGAAGGTAAAAGACTTCACCATCATCGCTGCAATCCAGTGCGTGTATCACAAATGTAAGTCACACCAAATTCAAGGTTTCAAAAAATTGCCTTTCGGACTACAAATACCACTACTCACTACTACTCACTACCTTGATGGGATAGAGGATGTTTTAATTTGCCTCAGGCAGTAAAATATCTTTGGTCAACGGTGTCTGCAGCCAGATACCTAAATATGGAACAGAATATAGCAAAAATCGGAACAACACACAATTCTTTCCTAAGGCAGGCACCATTGTTCCTTTCTTTTGGTGTGCAATGCTTGAAAGGAGCCATCAGCACTTGGACGGCAGATATGCAAGCACACAGATACCCTGGTCATTCTACAATGTAGAGGTGTACCCCAAATGACCATATTGTTTTAATAGTAATATTTCTTACCCGCCTCTCCACATGGTTCAATGTTGTGATCACCTTTTCTATTGCTATAGATGGGGAGAAATGCTTGTAGGACCTGCACTCCCATGTGTCCCACATATCTTTGCTTGCTGATCTGTCAAGACAGCATGATTTGTGCACCAGCCCTGCTAGGTAGCTAGCCATCCTATGTCTTTCATTCTAAGGGCCCTATATCCCAGAATATCAAGGCAGAAATTCCACAATATCTGCTTTGAACTGGGTTATCTGAGTCCACACTCAGATAATGTGGGATTTCCTGCCTTGATATTCTGGGATATAGGGCTGTGTGGAAGGGACTTAAGATACATCTCCATCCCATGTAAACATCTCTAAAAATGGGATGCTCTTAGAATCACAGGTGCCTTTATATGTATAGATTAACCTTTTTTTTTTCATTGTTGGTACTACTGAAATTAGTATGTCTTACAATCAATGGCATCTTAGGCCCCTTTCACACAGCTGTATAAAATCCACACTGAACTGGAATATATGGCAGTGTGGACTCAGATAATCCAGTTCAAAGCAGATATTGCGCATTATCTGCCGTGATATTCTGGGTTATGTGGAAGGGTCCTTAGAATCAAAGAAATATGTTATGTGTGTTTCAAAGTGACACAATTATAATAGTCTAATACTAGTTGAGAAACCCTTATCTGAAATGTGTTGTTGAAGGCTGTCATGGCCGGAATCACTGGGCTGCTGTGAGTTGTTCGGGCTGTATGGCTGTTCCAGTAGCTGTCTGTATAGCACAAAAAACTCACAACTCGTTTATATGAGGCCCCTTCCACACAGCTGAATAAAATTCCATATTATCTGTTTTGAACTGAGATATATGGCAGTGTGGACTCAGATAACCCAGGGCTCTTCCACACAGCCATATAACCAAAATATCAAAGCAGAAAATCCCACAATATCTGCTTTGAACTGGGTTATCTGAGTCCACACTGCCATATATTCCTGTTCAAAGCAGATAATGTGGGATTTTATATAGCTGTGTGGAAGGGGCCCATGTTCAAAGCAGATATTGTGGGATTTTCTGCCTTCTGGGTAGTATGGCTGTGTGGAAGGGCCCTGAAATGCCAGAAACCAAAAATATTTTGGATTTTGGAATATTTGCATATACATAATAAGTTCTCTTGAAGTCAAGTGAAAACTCATAATTCCTTGACATTCCATATGCACCTTAATAATTTTATGCACCTTGTTTTTGATAATTTAGTTTATGGAGCAAAGCTTGCAAACACTGAACCATCAGAAATCAAAACTGTCACAATCAAAGGGTACATCTAATGCAGCTTGACCCCACTTTGACTGCCATGGCTCAATGCTATGGAATCCTGGGAGTTGTAGTTTGGTGAGGCACCAGCATCATTTGGCAGAGAGTAAAGACCTTGTAAAATTAGAATCCCCATGATTCCAAATTCTACAATGTAAATGAACTCTCAGGCACCCATATGGTCAGTTTGGGAGCTCTTTGGAGAAGGGATGCTCAGTTTACACTACTATAATTGTCATGGCTCCATACTATTGGATGCTGAGATTTGTAGTTTCATTTTAGAATCCTCTGCCAGAGTTCCAATATCTATACATCCTAAGGCTTCATACGATGCAAACATAGCAGTTACAGTGGCTTCAGTAAATGTTTGTGTGAGAGAGATCTAAAAGAAGCAGTAATGCAAGGCCAATCATTTCACACACACACACCCCCGCGCCTCAATGTGGGACCTTCCCAGCTCGCGGCCATCCCATTCCTCACCATGCGCGGAACAAACCACTTTTTCCATAAATGGGGGAGCAGCTAAAGTTCTCTCTGCTCTCGTTTCTCCTCCACCCGGTTCAATTCCGAGGGAACAAAGTGCTCTGAGTAACACCCCCTCCCGCCCATTTTCCTGATCGGCCAATCGCAACGCTTTCTACGCTCGCGGAGCCAATCACAACGACGGTTCAGAAAACAGGCAAAGCAACCCTACATAGCATCTTCCCCCAAAGTGGAAGGAGAGTGGGCGGGTTTCCAAACGTGCTTCTGACCAATCAAGGAGCGCAAAAGCGCCCGGAAGCAAAGGAAGGAAACGCTATTGGTCGGAAGGGCGGCCAATACATTCATATTGCAGTGGGCTCTTCCTTGGCGCGCAGGGCAAGTTTGGACAAGTTGAGGGATGACGGGTTGGCTCTTTTGGCCAAGCAAAGCCACGCATGTGGTGGAACCTTTTATCCCTCCAATAATGAGAAAATATATATTTCAGAGTCTAGAAAAAGTTCATTTTCAGAACTTCCATTAAGTCACACACTTTCCTTCAAGGAAGCCACATCAATATACATTGTGGGCCCTTCTACACTGCCATATAACCCAGAATATCAATTTATTTATTATTTATTTATTTACTTTGCTTGTATACCGCAGTTTCTCAGCCCGTAGGCGACTCAACGCGGTTCACAACAAGAGCAAAAGTCAATCGAACAACATACAATATTTAAAACCATTAACAGCATAATATACAAAATAATGACACATCAATAACAACACATTAACGTCTTGTAACTAGAATCGTGATCCAATTCGTCTTCCATAATTCCGTTTCCTATATTCATCGTGTACACATTCACATTAGCTGGTTTGAACTGGATTATATGTGTTTACACTGCCAGATAAGCTAGTTCAAAGCATATACAGTGTTCCCTCATTTATTTATTTACTCTATTTGTATACCGCTTTTCTCGGCCCTCGGGCGACTCAAAGGGTTTTACAGTAGCAAACTGCTCTTACCTACAAGAAACACCTGCCTGAACATCAAGCAAAAAGTGGGTGCTAGAAACAATATCATACGAAAGCTGACTGGCACAACCTGGGGATCACAACCAGATACAGTGAAGACATCTGCCCTTGCGCTGTGCTACTCTGCTGCTGAGTATGCATGCCCAGTGTGGAACACATCTCACCACACTAAAACAGTGGATGTGGCTCTTAATGAGACATGCTGCATTATCACGGGGTGTCTGCGCCCTACACCACTGGAGAAATTACACTGCTTGGCCGGTATTGCACCACCTGACATCCGCCAATAGTGAAAGGACCAAGGCAGCGACATCTCCAGCTCATCCCCTGTTTGGGTATCAGCCACCACGTCAACAACTTAAATCTAGAAATAGTTTTCTAAGATCTACAGAGACACTCGCTGGAACACCTCAGCAAGCGAGAGTCCAAAAGTGGCAGGCTCAAACCCAGAACCTCAACCAATGGCTGATACCAAATGAGAGCCTCCCTCCTGGGCACACAGAGGACTGGGCGACTTGGAAGGCGCTGAACAGACTGCGCTCAGGCACCACGAGATGCAGAGCCAACCTTCAAAAATGGGGCTACAAAGTGGAATCTTCGACATGCGAGTGTGGAGAGGAGCAAACCACAGACCACCTGCTGCAATGCAACCTGAGCTCTTCCACATGCACAATGGAGGACCTTCTCACAGCAACACCAGAAGCACTCCAAGTAGCCAGATACTGGTCAAAGGACATTTAATCAACTACCAAACTCACAAATTTTGTATTTTGTCTGTTTGTTTGCTTTGTTCTGTTAGAAATGTAATATAATTTGACTGGTTGTCCTGACACGACAAATAAATAAACAGTAGCAAAAATTCAATGCTCATAAAACATTCCTTTGGCAGCACCCCAGCCAAAGGAATGTCTAGGGCAGTGATTCCCAACCTATGGTCCGTGGACCACCATTGGTCTGCACGAATAAAAATATGGTCCGTAATCTCACCATTACTACACAGTTGCCTCAAAACTGTGTGGCAACAAGAGTGACTGGTCTCACGGAACCCTCTTATAGTTCCAAGGCAATGGGGATGTCAGGAGAGGAGAGGCTGACTAGTGACTACTGATGAAAGATTACTACTATCACATCAGTTCTAGATTATTAAATATGGTTTTCTGTGGGCAAGCACATGGCGACTGCTGGATGGCATATGTTCTGTATCAGAAACTAGAGCTGATGTGGTCTATCCAGTGCAATTTTATGAATCAGCACCCCAAATAGCCAAACCAAATCTAAAGTTGACCATAAACTGGTTCATACCCTGTTGGAGAGTGGTTCCTTGTCAAAGTGGTCCATGGTAAAATAATAATAATAATAATAATAATAATAATAATAATAATAAAAGGTTGGGAACCACTGCTCTAGGGACTCATTGACACAAACAGTTGCAGCAGGATCACAAGAAGGTTCCTCCATCTGCCTGCTCTCAGTGAGCCCTGCAACAGGGAGAGAGTTACAAACATTTCCCACCACCTCAAGTTACAACACCTTGGAAACCCTTTGGTCAAGGTAGTGCCTATTGACAAAGCATGGCTTGGAATAATGATCCCATAGCACTTTGTCCTCCAAAGCACTTTACATTTTAGGTCTGCTTGTATGTTTTCCACAAACGCCACTACCACCTTTTCGCCCATGCTCCAGCATTATTTTCAATTTTAATTTTACATTTGGCCTTCCCACAGTTTTAATTGTGTGTTGTCTTATTGTTAATGTTGCATATCTTATTGTCCATGTTTTTTTTAATTTTAATTGCTTGTATTGTTGTTATTATTGCTTGTATTGTTGTATTCGGGCTCGGCCTCATGTAAGTCGCATCAAGTCCCTTGGGGAGATGGTAGTGGGGTACAAATAAAGTGTTATTATTATTATATTATTATAACTTTATTTGTACCCCGCTAGCATCTCCCAAGGGATTCGATGCGGCTTACAACAGGCCGAAGCCCACACAATACAACAATACAGTACCTAGCAAATAAAACAGTTAAGCAAAAACAATAACAATAGCAGTACAACAAGACATTATTAAAACTGAGCCGGCCGGAGTAGGGGTACAGGATTAAAAGTGCTGATGTGTCGGAGGGATATGGGATTATAATATAAGTGCAGTGTGCGGTGATCTTGGTTCCAACTAAAGTGCTTCTGGGATTTGGTGCTGGGGTTTCTAGTCTGAAAAGGCACATTGGAACAGCCAGGTTTTTCTGAAGACTGCCAATGTAGGGGCTTGTCTGAGGTCTTTCGGGAGGGCATTCCAGAGGCGGGGGGCCACCACAGAGAAGGCCCTGTCTTGTGTCCCCACTAAGCGCACTTGTGACGCGGGCGGGATCACGAGCAGAGTCTCTCCAGATGACCGGAGTGAACGGTTATTATTATTATGTAGAAGGGCCGAAAGATGATAATGTGCTCAGCATGTTATAATCCACACACAGCCTTTTTTTTTTTTGGGGGGGGGGGAAGGGGTGTGAAGAATCACAAGAAAAACACAACTTGGCAACTAAAAGCCAGAGTGGCAATTTGTACATCTTAGCCCCTGCTAAACATTTGATCTGATAGGCCTCATTTGATGTATTAGGTTATGTTTCATTGTACTGTTCACCAAACATGTGCTAAACAAATGGATCGTTTATTGAAACAGGTAGAAACAGGGAGGTACAGCTGTCTTTAAAATGAAAGGAGTTCACAGGAGAAAAAGGTTCTGCAAAGAACTCTACAAGAATGAGGAAAGCAAATAGCAGTTTATTGTTCAAGTTGTGAGCGGACTCCTTTTTTGCTCCCCATATCCCTTTTGTTATGAATGTGTTCCTTGGCTGAGCAGTCATTCAGGCACATTGTGACTATCCTGGTGGGTGTGACTATCCTGGATATATTTATATAAACACACACACATATACTAATACTGTTAAGCCAAGTCTTCGGGTATCTTTCCATGTCCTTGACTAAAACTCCATGGGTTGTTTTCTTTCACAAGAGAAACAGCCCTGTATCGTCCTTAGTGGTTTTGTCTGGTGCCCACTGAGGCCATTTTAAGTGTTTCCTTCCTCAATGCTCTGTAGCTGTAGCCTTTGGCCAGCATGGGTCCGGCCACCACGCCGTGCGCAGGTGCTGCTGTTTCCCATAGTTCGTACTGGGAACAAAGAACCAGCTAAAACATCGCCAAACAAAGTGATCCTCACGTCAGTTTCAATAGCTTTGGCCAAGCTGGATGCATAACTGTCCAGAGACTTATGAACTTCTGCTTTTACATGAAGGACAGAATTCTTCGTTGTGTCTAAAACAAAAGAAAAGAGAGAGAGTGCTTTTCACATTTGCATATTGTCTAATATTTCTGATGAATTCAAAGACATAGCCATTAAAGTTTGGATCAGTATGCAAAGGGATCTCATAGTATCTTTGATACTAATTGAGAGAAACTGCTCTTGCTCTCAGGCCCCTTCTAAACTGCCATATAATCCTGATTATCAAAGCAGATAATACACATTATCTGATTTGAAGTGGATTATATGAGTTTACACTGCCATATAATCCACTTCAAAGCAGATCTGAGGATGCTTGCCATAGATGCAGGAGAAACGTCAGGAAAGAATGCCTCTAGAACATGGCCATATAGCCCGAAAAAACCTACAGCAACCCAGATAATCTAGATTTTATATGGCAGTGTAGAAGGGGCCATAGTATCAAAAATGCTACAAGGTATCATTTGCATAATACTGTAGTATTATATATTATTAGCTATCCCCTGCCACATGTTGCTGTGGCCCAGTCTGTATATATGTGTTTTGTGTGTGTGTGTATGTATGAGTGTCTATATATTTATGTATATGTGTATATATGTGTGTTTGCTTATGTGTGTGTGTGTGTGTGTGTAATGTATTTTTTTTATTTAAGTCTCTTCTGCTGTGTTTTTCAGTATTTTTATGAGTGATGGTTATTTGTTGGCCTAACAGGTGTGTTGTGTCCAACTTTGGTGTCAATTCATCCAGTGTTTTTTGAGTTATGTCAATCCCACAAATGAACATTACATTTTTATTTATATAGATGTATAATATATTAATATACATTACATATTTTAAAATCAGGAAAAAAATGTAGATGATTATTATGGAGGAATTATTTTTGTAAGTAATCTCCTGCCCTACCAATGCAGCTCCAAGTTAAAACACCCAACCTCAGCGTACCTTTAATATGTTCCACTTCATCTTCAAATGTCACTGAACTCCTCCGTCGATGAGGATACACGCAATGTGGGTGATGCATTCCATCAGAACTATAGTCTTCAAGTAGCATGACGTCTGTTCCTGAAAATAAGGGCATCATGGATTAGTTGCATGCCACAATATCTCAGTTTAAGACAGCCTTCCTAACATAATGTCCCCCACCGTAAGTCCCTAGGTAGGCATTTCTGTCCTTGTTGGGGATGAAGGAAATTGAGCTCTGTCATCTGACGTTACAAGTTTGGCTAGATTGGTTTAAGGATTTTAAAGGAACTGACAGTATTCTAAGAGCTCAAAATACACTATGAATACCTTGAAGTTCTCAAGTTTGTATTTTCCTTGTAGTGCTAATACATGAGCAAGAGGAACCTGCTACAGAGAATGGAGGATTGGGAGGCATGCTTTACTCTTCTCCTACTTGTTTCTCTTCACAACTATCCCAACTTGGCCTTTCAATTTCCCCCCAAAAAACTGAGCACTGAGACTGGAAGAAGCTAACAGAATCTTGATACTATGCTGCTGTTAATGTGGCCTAAAGCTGTATTAAATATTTTAGCAGGCACATCACATTTCAGGCACATGTTCAATGTGAATGTTCTAATATGGAGTGGTCAAAATGTGGCTTGTGGGCTTCATGCAGCTGATGGGTCCTGAAGCCTACCATTGTTACTTCAATCTCATGGGAAAAAATAATTTGGTACATTTTTTGGCAACGATTTTCCCAAAATGACACAGAACATACCCTAAAATATGAAAACACTCGAAAATACATTCCAAACAAGCATTATTTCAATAGAAAATGATGAAGCATCACTTCCTGTTGCCCTTTCGGGATTAATTATAGAGGAAAACTGAAGTATTTGGACTTTAAGATTATTGTAGCCTATAGGAGATCTGGTGGAGGAAATTATCCCCAGCTTCCATGCAAATTGTCCACCCCTTTGCTAAGAGCTGTGGTGGCGCAATAGCAGGAACCACGGTGGTGCAATGGGTTAAACCCTTGTGCTGCTAAACTGCTGACCTGAAGGTTGGCTGAACTGTTGAACTGGAGGTTGGCAGTTTGAATTTGCAAGACGGAGTAAGCTCCTGTCTGTCAGCTCCAGTTCCTGCCAACCTAACAGTTAAAAAACATGCAAATATGAGTAGATAAATAGGTTAAAAAACATGCAAATGTGAGTAGATAAATAGGTACTGCTTCGGTGTAAAAAGGCAAAGAGACGCTCCAAGCAATCTTGCTAGCCACACAATCCAGGAGGTGACAAAACAGGCTCCTCAGCTTGAAAATGGAGAAAAGCACCTCCCAGAGTCAGAGATGAGTATTGCCTCCAGAAGCCGGAAAAGAAAAGAGAAGTCCCTGCCTTTGTTTGTATTTGTATTTCTCATAGTATATGATAGTAAAGGCACTGAATGTTTGCATATGTATGTAAATGCTGTTATCTGCTCTGAGTCCCCTCGGGGAGAAGGGCGGAATATAAATAAAGTGTATTATTATTATTATTATTATTATTATTATTATTATTATTATTACCTGAATCCTGAGAGTAGCTGAATCCTGTATCTCCTGTGCTACTGCTATGTCCTAAAGTCCTTTCACCTGCCATAAGAGCTGTGAGGTGTGGAGACAGTCCTAAATCTGCAAAAGAATTTCAGAGTGAACAAACACTAAAGAAGTGACTGAATATATGACATCATCATCATTTATATCCCATTTTATCTCTTGATTAAGACACAAAGTAACTCACAATATTAAAAAAACAAAGCAATTTAAAGTCCACAACATGCAAATATTAAAATAGAATTAAATATACGAATCAATCAAAATAACTCAAAACACTTAAATACTGTTAAAATAATCTAATATCCCACAGCATCTTCAACTCCTGGTGTGTTCCTTTAAAACCTTTAAAAGCTTGCCTGAATAAAAAGGCTTTAGCCTGCCATTGGAAGGACAGCAGGGAGTGGGGTAGGCGGGTCCAAACCAGGAAATGTGATCTGTCAAAAAACCTGGACCTGTGTTATATAGAACTTTAGAGGTTACAACCCAGCACTTTGAATAGTGTCTGGAAGCAAACTGGCAGCCAATGGAGCTGTTGCAACAGAGAGGTTTTGCACTCCCTGCAGCCAGCCCTATCAACAATTTCACCAAAGTACTTTGGGCCAGTTGAAGTTTCTGAAGACTCTTCAAAGGTAGCCCATCATTTGATCCAGTCAATCGCTTAGCTTGTTTTACCTGCACTGGGAATGAGTTAAAATACTGACATGAAACAATCAGGGCCAGCAAACACCTGCCAACAAAGGAGTCCCCCAGGCAGCAATCAACTAGGCTTTGAAGCTGCAAGGCCATTAAATGCTAATCAAGGTGGCCAACTGCAACATTCACACTTGCCTCAAGCAGACAAGAGTTCTTTCTCCCACCCTGGACATTCCACAAATATATAAACTCCACTTGCCTAGTTTCCAACAGACCTCACAACATCTGAGGATGCCTGCCATAGATGTGAGTGAAATGTCAGGAGAGAATGCTTCTGGAACATAGCCATACAGCCTGGAAAACTCACAGCAACCCAATTGAAATATTGTTGGTCATTGTGGTAATGAAATGCTGAAATCATTAACCCTTGGTTTGATTCACATGACTCTTTTTATGCTCTTAAACCACACTTTCTCTTTGAGCTGCATAATGAAATGTGAATGTTTCCCATTAAACACAAGCAACCAATATTTGGATCCTTATTTACCTTGACTACAGCATTGAAAGAATAAAAAGGGCACATTTTATTACCTGTAATCCTATTTGAAATACTAAATAATCTGGATGTCCTTTGTCGTTGCACGAATGATTCTCGGTAGTATCGGTCTCCGAAACACATTCCTAGCAACTCCTTGCGTACCGTTTTATTCCATAGTCCATAAATCAAAGGGTGGCAAATGGCACTTGTGAAAGATAACCATGTTGCCAATGTCTCCAAAGTTGGGGAAATGCTGTTTTTTCCCCAAAGTGCCTCAGTGGTAATAACCACCATGTAAGGCCCCCATGTGATGACGAAAGCACCAATCACAACCAAGATGGTTATCAAAGCTTTGCATTGGTTGGCAGAATAAACCACCCCTTGGAAAGCATTCCTTCGGCTTCCCGAGGAGGACGTTGAAGTACTGGAGTTCTTTCTCCCATTCCTTTGAGTATCTTCCTCTGCAATGACCACACTCCCGCAATGAATCTTCCGAGCTTTAATCCGAGCCACCCGGAAGATGAATCCATAGCATATCATCATGATCATGAAGGGCAGCAATGCACACCAGATCTGCCAAAAAGCAGTGTAACCTGCCTGTTTATGCCATGCAGCCACACACATCCATTTGAACTGGTCGAACTCTAGGGAAGACCAACCAAAGAGAGGAGGAAGGCACCCAATGAGAGAATGGAGCCACACGTACACAATAGCCACCACTGCTCTGTTACCCGTAATCTTCATTGGGTAAACCATTGGGTATAGGACAGCGTAGTACCTGAAACATAGAAAAGGAGGACTGCAGTCAAACTAAGAAATATACAAGAAACAAATAATAATAAATTGACTTGATCAATTGCAAAGCTCATGCTTTGTTTGAAATCACTGCTTACTCAGAAATTTGGGGGGGGGGGGACAGAAGGACTTCTACAGAGAAATCATATGAAGAAAGTATCTTAAGCATTGTACAATGTTGCGCACAAAGGCTAGTTGTTGGTGACACTACAGAGGTGTTCAAAATAATGGATATTTTATTGTGAGGCAGTTCCATACTGCAGAGCACAAAGAACTGATTTCTTTGAATTACATGTGTTAAAATTGGATGAGGAAAATGAGCATCCCTTTATTAGAGTTTCAAAATCCAAAATACTCCAAAATTGTCCGTGTGGGTGGTTGAGACTGTGAACCTTTTACTGTCTGATGATTCAGTGTACACAACCTTTGCTTCATGTACAAAATGCTGCAAGCTCTCCAAAGCTTTAGGTGCTCTTACTGCCTATTACAGGGGGAACCAGCTGGTTCCTAATCCATCTAAAACAAAAACATGTGTTTTTCACCTTAAGAACAGACAAGCATCTCAAGTTCTGAGGATTATCCAGGAAGGAATCCCACTGGAGCACTGCAGCACACCAAAATACCTGGGAGTTACCTTGGACCATGCTGTGACTTACAAGAAGCACTGCTTGACTAACAAGCAAAAAGTGGACACTGGAAATAATATCATATGAAAGCTGACTGCACAACCTGGGAATCACAACCAGATACAGTGAAGACATCTGCCCTTGTGCTTTGCTACTCTGCTGCTGAATACGCATGCCCAGTGTGGAACATATCTCACCATGTTAAAACAGTGGATGTGGCTCTTAATGAGACATGCTGCATTATCACAGGATACCTACACCCCACACCACTGGAGAAATTATACTGTTTAGCACCACCTGACATCTGCCGGGAAGTAGCAGCCAATAATGTAAGGACCAAGACAGTGACATCTCCGGCCCATCCCCTGTTCGGATATCAGCCAGCAAGCCATTGCCTTAAATCAAGAAATAGCTTTCTAAGATCAACGGAGATACTCGCAGGAAAACCTCAGCAAGCAAGAGTCCAAAAGTGGCAGGTGAAAACGCAGAACCTCAATCCATGGCTGATACCAAATGAGAGTCTCCCCACTGGGCACACAGAAGACCGTGCAACTTGGAAGGCACTGAACAGACTGCGCTTTGGCACCACAAGATGCAAAACCACACTTAAGAAATGGGGCTACAAAGTGGAGTCCGTGACATGCGAGTGTGGAGAAGAGCAAACCACAGACCACCTACTGCAATGCAGTCTGAGCCCTGCAACATGCACAATGGATGACCTTCTCACAACGACACCAGAGGCACTCCAACTGGCCAGCTCTTGGTCAAAGGGCATTTAGCATAATGCCAAATTGTTAACTTTGTGTTTTTAAATACATTACAATTGTACCCTCAATTCGCTTCTGACACGATAAATAAATAAATATGTACAAAATTATTAGAATATTTATAAAGTTGCCTCCAGGGTATGTATATGACAGATATATGAAGCATAAATAAATTTTGCATTTAGGTTTTCAGTCTTCAAGGATAATGCATATTTGCACATACATTATCATGTATGTATATGCAAATACAAATATTTCAAAATCTGAATAATCTGAAATACTTCTGGTTCCAAGAGTGTCAGAAACGGGAGACTTAACCTGTACTTATAACATATGAATAGCCTGCTGCATCAGGCCAATTATTAGACTTCCTATTTTTTATAGAAGCTTCTGAGACCTAACAGAAGACATATCGATTCAATCATGCTTTGCTACCTGCACATAGGCATGAAAAAGGAAATAGGTCCACGGCTGGCAGGAACGAGAGATAGGGCCTTCTCGGTGGTGGCTCCCCGGCTGTGGAACGCCCTTCCCACAGACATTAGATTAGCACCATCTCTAATGGTATTCCGCAAAAAAGTAAAGACCTGGTCATTTGTGCAGGTGTTTGAATAATTAGTGCAATGAATGGTAATGACATAGGAATGGAACAATGGATGACGAATCTGGATCATGTTTTTTAGTGATGAGACGCTAGTGAATGGTTATTATAGTAATTGTGTACTAATTGTGTATTAGATTAGGTTGTTAACTGTTTTTTATATTGGTGCATTGAATTTTGCTGTTTCTTGTGTGTTGTGAACCGCTGTGAGTCGCCTCTGGGCTGAGAACAGCGGTATAGAAGTAAAGTAAAGTAAAGTAAATAAATAAAATAAATAAATAATATTTAGTTTGAGGACATGGCTATACTGGATTTTTTGAATTACATTATCTCTCAGAATGGGTGAATAAGACAGAGACTTCATTGTTGCTCACTGACACGTGGTTTCTATTGAAAAACATTGCGTACCGGTCGATAGCAATGAGTCCGAGCGTGAGCATACTGGCAGAGCTGATCAGCATATACAGCAGGGCTGAAAAATTGCACCAAACGACGCCAAAGATCCATTCTCGCTTGATGGAGCTGGTCACAACGAAAGGAAGCACAAGTACTGAAAGGAGGAAGTTGGATAGAGTCAGGCTGAACACAAACTTGTTGCTGAGTGTGAGGAGGTACGACCTTTTGTAGAGGGTCAGGACAATGACCAGGTTTCCTAAACAGATGAAGATGGCAATGACAATAATTGCAATTGACTCTGTAATTCTGCCTACTCCATTCTCCAGAAGTGTAAGGTTCCCTGAGGTGTTCTTGTGGCTGAGAGAGGAGTTGATGCTCATCATCAGAGCGTACTGAAGGTGGACAGCCAGGACATGCTGGGCACCTGGAAAAAGAAGAAAAACACAGGTATAATTTGAATGCTGTGCTTTCTAAATGATATAATTTTACATTCTATCTTTAATTGCATTAAAATCATTACACATCATCAAGTGCAGCCAGTGGGGAAGAGCTCTTTGGTGTATTCTAGATCAATGCTTCATTGATACATGATATATGTGATCAGCAATCCACCCACTCCACACACACACACCACTTCGTTGCCATGTTAAATATGCCCATCTCTCATAGGACTTGGGCTCTTTTCATGCTACACTGCTATGATTCCACTTTATTTGCCTTCCTCTGGGACTCTGAGATTTGTAGCTTGAAGAGACATGAGCACAATCCCACTGAAAACCCTAAAAGCTTCTCCCGAAACTGCAAAACTTGGGATTCCACAGGATGGAACAGTAGTTGTTAAAGTGGAATCCCAGCATTACAACTGTGTGGTGTGAAATGACCCTTGGTTTCCATGCCCCTTGTAATCTTAGTTGCATCTCCTTTGGACATGGCACAAGTTTCAAACTTTGGTGCTCAACACTGGACACAAGCCAAATAAAGTGTCCTTTCTCTTGATCTGGACACTATAATTTGGTGGATGCAGCCTAGAACTCCTTCAGCTGTTCTTTTCCCTGTTGCTGGATATCACAGGGTTGACTCACTATTTGTAATGTCTGGAAGACTGAAAGCCTGATTCCATGGCACAGAGACAAATGGTGTCAAATTCCACTCATTCTACAACAAGGATGGGCAAACTTGGGTTAAGTGGCTGAGGGGAAAAGGAAAGGGCCTGAGGCTGGTTAGGAATTGTGGGAATTGAAGTCCAAAACACCCGGAGGGCCCAAGTTTTCCCATGCCTGTTCTACAATGTAGATGCGTCCTGAGAAAAGCTGTCCTTTATTTCAAGGGCCTCATCTTCCTTTCCTCTCCCTTCTCCTTCCTTCTCTCCCTTTTTCCTCCTTCCTCCTTCCTCTCTCCCCTAACTTTTCTTTTTTCCTCACTTCCTCTTTTCATTCTTTCTCTCTCTTCCTTTTCTCTCTTTTTCTCAATCTTTGTCCCTTTTCTTTCTTTCTCCATTCCCTTTCTCTGCCTCCCTCTCTATCTTCCTCTTCTTTTCTATTTCTTTCTCTTTCTTCCTTCTCCCTCTCTTCCTCCCTTCTCTGTAGTTCTCTCCATCTCCCCTTTCTCTCCCTCTTTTTCTCTCTTCCTCTCTTTCTTTCTCCCCTTTCTCTCTTCCTCTCTTTCCAATCCTTCTCTCTCATTTCCTCCCTTCTGTCTTTCTCTCTTGCTCTCCATTCCCTTTCTCTCCTTCTCTCCCTCCCTTCCTATCCTCCTCTTTCCTTCTTTCTCTCCCTTCTTTCTCTCTCTTCTCTTTCTTTCTCCCTTCCTTTCTCTCTCTCTCTCCCTTCTCTCTTTCTCTCCTTCTCTCCCTTCCCTTTCTCTCTATCTTCCAAACTTTCTTTCTCTCCCTTCCTTCTCTCTCTCTTCCTTCTCTGTCTTTCTCTCCTTCACTCCCTTCCCTTTCTCTTTATCTTACTCCCTTCTCTTTCTTTCCCTCTCTCTCTCCCTTCTTCCTCTAGCTCTCCCTTTCTTCTCTGTTTTTCTCTCCCTTCCCTTTCTATCTTCCCCGCTTCTCTTTCTTTCTCTCTTCTCTCCCTCCCTTCCTCCCTTCTCTTTCTCTCCTTCTCTCCCTTCCCTCTTTCTTTCTCCTTCCTCCTTCTTCCTTCTCTTCTTCGGGGTCGGACACAGGCAGCCCCTTCTCCTTCCCTCCCGAAACGGGAGGCCCTCTCTTCCCGCGAGTCTCCCCTCCAGAGGTGGGGCATGGCGCTCCATTCCGGGCGAACCCCTTCCTCCTCGGTGTCCAGCCTCCCACTCGGGCGCCGTGCGAGGCCACTCACCGTGTGTCCCGGGGGCTGCCTTGCTGCGGGAGCGGGCTCTCTTCCCGGGACCCCCCACCAGCGCCGCCGCCCACGGAGCTCCCCCAGCGCCGCCCCTTCCCCCTCTTCCCCTCCTCCGCTCCTTTGTTCTCCTCTCCCTCCTTCTCCCCCTCAACTTTGGGCCTCTTCGGCGGGCCGAGAAGAGGATCCCATGCCTTTCCTCCTTCCTTCCTTGCCTTGCAAAGCTCCTCCACCCGCTCACTCGGCGGGAGGCTCGTCTTCTTCGCCTTGCAGGGAAAAGTCGGCCGCCAATTCCAAAGCGTTCCTCTTAGGCAGCATTTCCTCCCCCGGCATTCCTGGCCCTTTTACACCTCATCTCACTTTCTGGCTCTCCTTCATTTTTGCTGCACAGCATTTGTTCTTCTCCAAGGCTAGCTCGTTCCTCTCTCGGCCAAAGGAATGGCCATCGGAGGACAGGAGGCAGCGCTCGGGATTCAACGGCAGCCCACGAGTCCAGTGGCATGAGGAACACACTCCAGTTTCCATCCCCACTGGCAGAGTTTCCTGCCATCTGGGTGGTTCCAGAATGAGAACACCCCCCCCCCCCACATTATATTCCAGCATCCCTTACCTGGAATTCCACATAAGATGGCTAAGGGCAGGCCTGTAGCCGGGGTGGGGTGAGTGTGGGGGTTTGGATAGGGGTTCAACTCCCTCCCCTGAAAATTTTCATGTTAAAAAAAACCTGGTTTACTCATGAATTTTAACTGGTTAACCAAATCCCCATGCTAAGTCTATGAGACAAAAAATTAAGAGTCCCTCCAGAACTGCAAGCACTATCTCAAGCAAATATTGACAATTTATTCACACTGTCATTACTTGCAGCAATAGCCGATGTAGTGAAGCAACCAAGTTGGGTGTGTGTGTGTTGAATGCTCTCATTAAGGAGGCCAGACTTGGTGGAGGTGGTTGACAGGGGCGGAGCTGCAGGCTATTGAAGGCTGCTCTGCCCCCTGCTGTACTCTTTGCTTCAGCGTGAGCTAGGAGGCAGGTTTCAACCCCCCCCCCCGAAAATTTACCCCCCCCCCCCCGAAAATTTCAACCCCTCCTGAAATTTTTTTCTGGCTATGGCCCTGGCTGAGGGTCAGTGGTTCACTACCTTTTTTTTGACCAAGGGACCACTTTGATCAGGGACCACTTGACAAGGGACCAATTTCCAACATTAGTACCGAAAGGGTTATGAATTAGTTTTTGGTCAACTTTAGATTCGGTTTGGTTATTTGGGTGCTGATTCAGAAAATTGCATTGGATAGACCACATCAGCTCTAGTTTCTAATACAGAACATATGCCATCCAGTAGTTGCCATCTGCTCGCCCACAGCAAACCATATTTAATAATCTAGAGCTGATGTGGTCTATTCAATGCAATTTTTCTGAATCAGCATCCCAAATAACCCCAGAAACAGGCCTAAAAATGAAGACACCAAGGCACCCCCACTTCCAGGCGCCACATGGAACTGAGTTGCTCTCTTTGCAGCAGTGTAGTAATGGTGAGGCTGCAGGCCACATTTTAGTTCTCGTGGTCCATGAACTACAGGTTCAGAATAACTGATCTACACTCTAGAATTCACACAGTTTGATCCTACTTTAACCACCATGGGTCTAATGCTATGGATATAAGTAAAGTTTATTATAATCAATACATACTACAAACACATTTGCTAACAATGATAATCAAACGAGACATACTTAGTTTTGCGGTATTTGCAATGCAATATTTCTTCACAGTTTTTCTTTCTTCTTTGGTTTCAATTATAAATACAATAATAATTACAAACACAATTGCAAATTCACATATCTATATCTCAGTTAATATATATCAAACTTTTCAAACTTTTCTTTTGTATGGAACAATTGGATGACGAGACTGGACCTTGTTTTTAACTATGAGACGGAAATATTTTATGTTTTATTGATCCTACTATGATTATATATTATATATTAATGTTTTAAATGTTTTTAAATGTTTTATGTTGTTTGGGCATTCAATCTTGCCTCTGTAAACCGTCTTGAGTTGCCCACAGGCTGAGAAAGGTGGTATACAAATATAGTAAGTAAATAAATAAATTGTATTAATTATATCCATCTATCTAAATAAAACCTACAACCCTTCAGGTGATCCCAGATGTGGTCTCTGCCAGCCTGGGCCAGAACTTTTTCCATCAGTTAGAGGGCATCTGGCCTCGTTCCTATTTTCTCTGCTACCCAATTTACACTAGAGGTAACATCTGCTGGGTTTTGAATGGTAATTTCTTGACATCTCTGGAAAACCAGGGCCAGGAGAACATACAAGTCGATCAACCTTGTTGTTGTCTAAGGAACATCCCAAAAGACCTCCTGAGTGTCCCCCTGCTGGGTCCTCTCTTCCTCTTCCTTCCTTGGTGTTGACGTGACCCCTGAATACTGGTTTCCGGCTCCATTACAGAGGCCACTGTTTCCTAAGGTTGGAGCACCAAGTCTGGCCAGTCAAAGACGATGGCCACTTTTTGCCAGGTCTCTTTGGTTAAAGGGCAGTCTGTGATGAAATGTTCTCCATAGATACCTCCAAGGTCATGTGCCCAGCATGACTGCATGGAGCACAGTTACCTTTCAGCAGAAATGGTACCTACTGATCTAATCGTATTTTGCATATTTTCAAATTGCTAGGTTGGCAGAAGCTGGGTCTAACAGTGGGAGCTCCCCTCACTCCCTGGATTCGAACCCCCAACCTTTCAGTTAGCAAGCTCAGGAACTCAGTGGTTTAACCCGCTACACCACCAAGAGGGCTATATACATATACATATATATAGTATATGTGTGTGTGTTATATTATTCAAAGCAGCTTAAAGACATGGATATAAGATTAAACACATTACAACTATTTGTTAAAATGCTGTGTAGCCAGCCATAGCCTCAGGTTATAAATATGATTGAATCCTTACACTAGTTCTCCATTCTTTGTCTTCAGGAGGAAAGAGGGTGCAATGTATGACAGGTGGGACCACTGATGTAACTTTACTTCAGTCCACAAGAAGTGCGCATCAACAGGTAAAAGAATTACAGTGCCCTCCCTTATTCTATCCCATTGGCCTCTCACAGTAGTAAATGTTACTGAACATATTTTTCTGTTGGAGCTGCAATTTTTCTACAATCATTACAATCAGACTGTAAGAATAAACATTCCACAGGTTTCCTTTTTGTTTACAATTGGTTTAATGTAGAGCAGATGGAAAGAAGCCTGAAGGAAAAAGGAGGTATCTGTGTAGTCACACAGCACTAGCTGCAGGGAAAGAAGTAATGAAAGTACCAAGAAATCACTATTTTTATCTGTGAAATGTTAATAAGTATGATAAACATGTCCTCTACCCCAAAACCCAGACCATAACACTTTCACTCAATGTTTGAATATGCTGCCATTGGATGTGGTAAAGGAAATCTGGATTATCATTGTGTATGTAAAGATGGTCAGATCACTGGCAAGGGGACCACAGGTAAAAGCCACGCATTTTGGAATACCTCCTTTTGTTACCATAATTTAGAACTAACCCATTGAAGCATGGAATTTACAACCAAATTATTATTGGTTCAAAAATCTGTTCTACTGGGTCCTAACAATAGAATTTGTTTATCATCTTGCTTGGTTTCCTCTATAAACCTTTAAGAAAGAACTAATTTGAACATGTGATCCTTCCTCTCCTTAATCCCAAGTAACATGATCTATATAGCTAACTTTA